TTTTTTTTTTTTCTTTTTTTTTGTTAAGCTCATATATTGATAGCAATGGTAAACATCCTGCTTTGGTTCTAATGTGAAGCAAAAACAGTTTTCCTAAATTTGAATGTTTCTGTGAAACAGAGTGAGCTGCCATCTTGCAGGCAGCTCAAGCCTTGAGCTTARAATAGAAGCAAGAAAAACACAGTGAGTGTCATTTTACTTTCAGCCTCTCTATTCTGTAGAGATTTTCTTAGTAAGAGAGAGCTAGACGAGATTTGGACCAGTGTTACTGCGTTAGTTTAATGTGGCATGCAACTATATGGATAGAAACTCAAGCTTCACAGTAACTGTAAAATAATTTCATCTGCAATGAGAATGTGCCTGTATGTAATGAAAGTTCCATCAAAACTATCATCTGATTTGTCACCTCTAGAGTCCTATTACATCTAGACACAGTCTGGAAAAACAGCGGGTCTAATCACCACTAACTTTTTTTTTTTTTTGGTCATTTYTGTAGTATTCTTCCTCCACAAAACTAAAAGTGCTGTAGAAGCAGTTTCCAATGAGCTATGYATTTTTCAGTAATGATCTTTACTAACCTGATGACCACAGTAGTGTTAAGAATAAACTAGGATTAATCTTTTTGAAATTGTAGATTTAGCAAGGCAAGACAGGGAAGAGATAAATAATGAGATAAAATTTAAAAAGAAGAAGTGTTTTTGTGAGTGGGTTAGTCCACTTCCATTTCTCTCCGTGTATAGGAATGAAATCCTTTGCCTAGAAATGCTCTATTAATTACACAGAGCAAATTACAAGGAAACACTGAAAAGCTGGAAATCGAAGTACATGACTTGTAAAGCAGATTATTTTTGAGGGACACRTCTTCCACTTCAGCTTCCTTATCTCCATGCTAAGTGTGTGCATAGTGACTCAATGAACAAGTCAAAGAGTGAGCCAGGACTGTTCCTACCAATAAAGTTGCTAATGAGAGAATCTATTCTCTATCATTTTCTTCTGCTTCCTCTTCTCTGATGACAATTTTAAAGTGATAACTATATATAGCACATAGGCATAGATTCCCACAGTCACCCTGGGGAAAACTCAGGGGAGTTTCACCTGAGGAAAAGTTCACCTTGAGCCTACTCTGACTCTGAACAGCAAAACGAAGGCAGCATGTCCTGAAGCAGTGACGTGTGCACTTAATGCAGCGGCCACGGAAAGCTGAGGTAGCCTCCAAGAGAAGAACAGAGGTGTGTTTCGTTGGGCTTGAAACAACTGCTGTACGTGACAGCAGTGACTTCTGTTGGGTAAGAAACAAACCATCTCTCAGCCAGCTTTGCAGTATTGTTCCAGCTCTCTGATGAGCTCAGAGGCCACACTTAGTATGGACAACTCACTATGCCAGAGGTGAGAGATGGCTTTGCTCYGAAGCATCTAAAGCAGAAAAGACTTGTTATAGTGCTGGGAATAAAGGAACTGGGCTAGGGTTTATGCGGCTGTGCATCACTGGGATCGGACATGCAGGAGTTACTGCTCTGCGCTGACTGGCGCGCTCTGCTGCTCTGCAAGATACTGGCCTCTACGGTTGAGAATATGAGGAGTTTTGTAGAAGTGATGTATTTCTCTTGTACAGCAGTTGCATCATCCTAATAGGTATTAAGAGCAGGTTAATATCAGGGGAAGACAGATGAACTTTCTGTGTTCCCATATCTCTCTTCAAGAGAGCAAAAATCACTATTACATCCATTCCAGTATTTTCAGGAAGACCAAGTTATATTATTACAGCATATCCATCATGGCACTCATGGGGCACCTGTCTGCTACCTGGGGTGGCTGAGAGAAGAAAAAAATGGAATCTCATGACTGCCTCAAAGATATGGAAGGGGTGGGATTTTCCTCGCCCACTTGGCATACAGCCCCATACAGTCTTCTGCATAGCTGTAAGAATGCAAGCCATATGAGCATGTTTACATTCCTTTGATAACCTCTTTAGTGCTGATTGTAATTCAGTTGCATGGTTAGAAGCTGGGAGCAAAATAAAATAAGTTTCATTTGAGTTGCTTCTGGAGGGAGGCAACTAACTTAGAGCACGGGATGAGTGTATACAAAATGCCAAGGTTCATTAAAGTCAGAACCCTTCTTATTAATTTAAGTGTGCATTTAGATAATTTCATAATCCTCATTATTGATGTCATCCTGACACTGTCCCTAGGTCAGTGAAGCCCCTGGACACCTGATTAAGTCTATGTCTGTAGGACAGATTATGATTTCCCAGAACAAAGTCTAATTGTTTGCACATACTTATATTCCACTAATCTCAAATTGCAATTTATTTAAGGTTATACTTGAAACAAGAGTCTCCTAAATTTAATCGTATCTCTGCTGCAGCCGTAAAACACCTCTTATTTTTATTTAGGAGTTACTTTATTATAGTGCTTAGTGAGGATATATATAATGTTAAATAAGGAACGCAGCTCTGCATGATCTGT